TATTTGGACAGAAACAAGCAAGGGCTACGAAACAAACATTCAGGCAGGAACAAACTTGCCTGGGACGCTTCATTCAAGGTCTAGGTTTGGGGAAAATTTTCACAGTGATTTCCATGTGTCCTCCTTCAATCCAGTTGAGATTAGAAAGCAAATTATGATGGAATCTTTTACCACAATCTGGTTAAATGGGGTTTCCTAATTGCCTGTGTTATGAGCTAAGCTTATAGAGGCAGAGTGCAAGGAACTAATCCCCTATAGACTGAAGAAGTGTTGACACTGTTTAAAACACCTGCCAGGGCCTGGTTTCTAAATCCCAAATATAAGGCTGCTCTGTGTGGGGAGAGGAAAAGAAGTGAGCTAAGGCATCCACGTGGAAGCCTTCTGTTGATACATAACAGAGAAACAGATATCGGGTGGATTCATCTAAGAGAGCATTCAGTATTTTGCTCCAAATATAAAAGTTTAACAACCACATGTTTCTTTTTGCAGAGGTGAGTCTGAAACACAAATAAACAGATTTAGGGCATCATGCACATGGGAAAAAAAACACGTTACACTTAAGACTCAGAGCTGTTTGCTTTGGAAGGCTGTGTTTTCCCTTTGCAAACTGGGTGAAATAAAGGTGCTGTCTCTCCAACTCCCCTCCCTCCTACCTCCCAAACTTCAACTCCAGGAAGTTTCCGGTGATCTCCAACAGCTGCTCCTTTCCAATTCCTAAAGGTTTATGTCGTCGCTCGGTATTTATCTTGGACGCTCCTCTGGGTTGAGCTTATTATCATATTGCTTTGCCACTGCAGAATTTATTGAATAAAAGGGAGCCGCTGCTGGCCGTGAGCTATGAGTGGTAAGTCCAGAGTTTCAGAGTCTCATGAATTAGGGCACCAGACGCATCAGTAAGATAACCCTCTAGCTCTTGGGATGAGATTTCTCTCTTTGGAATGCAACTTCTGCAGAGGTAACAATTCAGATTAAATTAGTTCAGAACACAAGAAGGCAATTTTCATTTGTAAAGAGATTGAGGGTTTGTTTGGTTTCTTTTCTGCTTTTTCTTTTTAGCTAGACCACCAATCTAAACACAAAGATAAATTGAAATGGGATTTCATTTTTAAATGGCTTTAAGTAATACAAATAATAATATGAAAGGAAAGCTGTTGGGATGTTGCTGAGTAACATCTGACAATGGCATTTTAATAACTGTAGGTAATAAATTTAAGGTTTTAATTTGCGATGCTGGTATTTTAACTGCTTTAAGAAATATACCAGTGTGAACTGCTGAGGCCTATTAGGACCCTTCCTCCAGGAAGATTCAGGGAGATATTGATGTATCAGGCCCTAGGGTGATATCTGGGGCTGCACAGAAGTGAACCACAAAGGAAATAGTCTTTGGTTTAGAATAATTTGCATTCCTAATGCATGTTAATCTGCAAAATGTTTGGCTGAATGCTTCATACTGGGGAAACTCCTATTCATGCTATAAAATATAATCACATGCCTTTCATGGCAATGAACTACTCAGATTTAATGAATTTTTCTTTAAATGTGGAGTTAATGTCCTATTTTAGAATTACGTTTGAACAGTGAGTCTTTGAGTGAGGGATTATTCACTTAAATATTCTATGGAGCCCTTCATAGACATCAGGAAAATGGTGATAAAATGTCAGTTCCTCATTTCCATTTGCTTAAAAAGTACAATTATTAAAAATAAGCAGTATGGAGAGTCTAACACGTTGATACAATTCATGCTTTTCTGTGGCTCGGGTGACTTGTGAAGGAAATCATGCGGTCTCCGGTTGCCACCTGCTTCTTTGGTCATAGATTAATAACATTTGACCAAGCATGAAGGCATGCTGAGGCCATCTGCCGTCACACATAGCAGGATGGGTTTCCGCTTCTTCCAGTAGAATTCTGACTACATGGCTCCACTCTCAGACGATAGTCATCCTATTGGGCTGCGTGACCCAGTTATTTTGACAACAAGAATTCAGTACTCATCTCAGTCAAACCAGAACTACGTAATCTGCTTGGTAGTGGTTAAAGTATTAGGCCACCTGTATAATTTCAATGATAATTATGAGCTCTCTTCTCTGTTTATGTAGTAATGGATGTCAAATAAGACCTTTGCGTTCGTCTCTGTGCTTTGATGTGGTGCACAAAGCTAAGAAAAATAGACACTAAGAACCTTTCCATGTTCAAATGAATTGGATCCTCGTTCCTCCTCTTTCCTCATCTCCCACTCCCTTCACCATACAATCTCCACCACCTTCACCACCACGGTCATCATAATTGTGATCACTGCTCTCTTCAAGATCTCTTTATGCTCTGTCTTTTGATGCCAAGGAGCCAAGAGCTGACTCTTTGGATGATAGAGGAGGATGGGGTTATAGAGAAGGATGCTCTGCTGGTCTGGTAGCCATATGGTAAAAGTTCTCATAAGTCAGTGACCCAACCTTCTCCTTACCTTTCTCCTTCAGGATATAGCGTGGTCTCCAGTGCCATCATTATTTAGCATTCCAAAGGAAGGCTACCCAATAGCCAGAAAGTTGGGGGGGGGGGAGCGGGTACAATAGAAATGACATTAGCCCAAGGACTAAAAGGACTTATTCTTGTTCTAAGTATAACTAGCTGGGCCACCTAGGGAAAGCCATTTGATCTCACAAAGCATTTGAGGTTTTTTTTTTTTTTTCACTAGAAAAAATTAGGGGACTAGAATTGATGGTCTTAAAATTATGTTATAAAATTTCACAGTGGTGTTCCTAGGACTACTGGTCAGACCTCACACCTCCCTTCCTTCTTCATCCTACCTGGAATGAGACTGATTACCTGGCAGCCAAAACTGCTACCTTGTGACCATGAGGATGAAGGCCTGTACATTAAGATTTGGGGATCTGGGCCCCTGATGACATCACTCAGGTGCCATTCCAGCCCTAGACTGCTTTTTCTCAACTTCTGGTTATATAGTGAGGCTACTTTTAGTTGGTTTTCTGTTGCAAAGAGCTGAATGCAGTTTTAATGAATGCAGCCTTATACTAGTACCGCTCATCAGGCAGTTCTGAGGTCAATAATCTAATCATACTTGGCATTCAGTCAGTATTTTGTAACCATCTCCAGTATAAACTGTTTCTATCAGATACTTGAAGGTTTTTTATTTCTTTAATGGCAGAGTTTTTAGCACCCCTGCAGATAAAATTGCTTTAGTGTTCTTTTATAATATAAACGTCTTGTTTTTAGATGACAAATCTGAGCACAATATTTATAATCCACCCCTTCCTTATATATTCATAACAGAGAAAAGGTGATTCCATAAATCAAAATGGGAAATACTAAACCAGAGAAACTACTCCGTCATTGACAACTAGTATAGTTAATCATGGTGAGTTTTTAGACTAAAAGAGGAGGTTGTTCTCTTATGCCCTAAAGTAATTAACCTAGCCTCTTTGCTAATGTTTAGATAAACAGACATTCATTTCTTTTTGCCTTTAATAAATCAAATACAGTTATTTCCTGCAAAACTGAGTGACTAGCAATTTTAACTGAAATAAAACTTGGATTTGAATTAAATTTCAAAAGTGAAATTGATTTAATAAGTAAATGTGTATCGTTAAAAATTTTGATTGAAATATTCTAGTCTTCTATATAGTCACATTTTGATAAATGTCAGTGGATTGCTAAAATAAATTGAAATGCAACTGTAGTCTTCAAACAAACACAAAAATCCTTTGGAATAAGATTCTGGCTGAAATTTGAAAATGTTGAAGACATATTTGGTTGAAAGATGTAGTGGAAACATGTTACCTAGGTTACATGAATTTATGATCAAAAATATAAAATGGATCTTTTAAAAGCATAGAATCCATCCTCCTCCAATTTAAATTTATCTGAAGTCAGTTGTCAATTTGATGACTCCTGCTTTATAACATCACTTATATTTTTGATATCAAAGGGAAAACATATTTTCAAGAAAGTTAGTATCTCTATTCCGTAAAGGTACAATGGTTTATTTATAACATGCCATTTTTATCATAGGTCACCAGAGACAGAAATCAGGCTTTTTTTTGAAAGAGTTCAGAATGGAAATAGAAACAGTTTGGATTTTTTTTACTAACATGTTAAATTCCTATAAAATAGTTTACATTCATGTAACAAGATATAGTATAGACTAGAGACAGGGATGTAGCCTTTGAAACCTAACAGGCTTGCATGGAATCCTTGTTCTCCCAATCCACCTGTGGCAGACACGTGTTTGGCTCACCCAACTGCCTTTCCCAGCTTCCTTTCCTCTCCCCAACTTCCCACAGAGCAGCTGAGAAAGTAAGGTTCCAGCTTCCCCAGACTCTCTTCCAAAGAAGTTGTATGTCCCAGTTCTGTCCACTAAGCTGTAAGGGGAAGGCTCCAGGGCATTTCTAGGAAATGTTTTCCTAAAAAAGACAGAACAACATGAGGAGAAAGTCATTTTCTTTTTTGCCACCAGCCCAACTTCTTCCTGTATTGCATCTGTAAATGGATAAAATGGTTGTAGTTATCTTCTGACCAAGAAGCAGAGAACAAGAAGATGCCAGGACTCCGACCTGCACCCCTATCTGGTTGAATCACTGACCCAATCCTGGGGTTATCAGCTTTCTGATTCCTTATAATGTGATAAAAAAAAAAAAACTTTCATTGCTTGTAGCCAAAAGCATTCCTTACTGATGTACAACATTTATTATGATGGGCAAACATGTTAACTTTTCTGAGCTTCAATTTCCTTTTATGTAAAATGGGACTAATAGTACTTAACTCGGTTTATGATTGTTGTTCTGTAACGATTCATCGAATAATGTATTTTAACAGACTAACACACGAGAGCAGCTCACTAATAAATACCTCTTTAGTTATGCTATTGGAGCTAGTGTTGGTTTAACCAACTTGTAGAAGAGAGAGTTTAATAAAGACCTTATCGTTTGCCAAAACTATACGTTCAAAGTTTTAACTTCTTCCTTCTCATTATTTAATTCTTCCAGCAAATCTACAAGGAAGCTGTGATTTTCCATTTACAGATGAGGAAACTGAGGCTTAGAAATACTCTTCCAAGGTCACCCGGTTTGAATGTGTCAGAGCTGGTGTTTGTGCCCTAAAGATCACCTACATGCCTTGGAGGATAAGAGAACCCTGAACTGGGACCATGAGAAGGCATCAAATTAGAGAAAGAGTGGATTTAAAAACTCAGCCAGAGAGGCCCAAGGTGAGTGCCAAAGAGATGCTGAGGGTTCTGGAATGTATACATACCTTATCTAAGGCTACCAGTGGGAGGTGAAGGGGAGGACTTGGGCAGCAATTGGGATGGAGTGCAAGAGCTATAGCTGAGAAATAGGAGCTGAGAATCAAGGTCCAGAAAAGCAGATAAGGCTGGTGGCTGACTCACATGCCTTCATGAGCCCAGATGGTAACATGAATGTGTGAGTCTGGTAGAAGCAAGACAAAAATGGATGGTGGGGACTAGATACTGGAGAGGGGGTACATGACTCAACTCAAATCACTTAAATTGTTTTAAAATACTGTGCTGACCAAATAAGACACATCCTTGGAAAATATTTTCTTGCTGGCCACTGGTTTGCCACCTGGAAAATAATATAGCAGAAAATAGAAATCCAGGTTGTAAATGACTTCAAGGCCCAAGCTATTTTCCTTACCACATATTGTTTGATATTCATTTATTCCTTCCTTCATTCATTGGTTTTACCAATCAACAATATCATTTAGTGTCTTTGGACCATGTACTGTGGTCCAAAGGTGCTGGAGAGGAACAAGACATCGTCCCTGTACTTAATAGAAAGAACATCATATTTATACACTGTAATGGTCCAGGAGAGGCCTTAGCTCTTTTAGAGAGTGCATTGGAGCTAAAAGGACACAGCAACTGAATCTGCTGCGAGTGATCATGGGAGGCTGCTCAGAGGAAGTGAGACTTTACTGAGTCTATATGAATAAATAGAATTTTGCTTTACTGTACATTGTGCATAAGATGAGGGCAGTAATTGGAGTGAGGAAGATTAAGAAGAAAATCTGCTTTAGTAAATAGATGAGAATAATATTATTTTATATATCCAAGTTTCCGGTTTAAGTAATTCATATCAAGCATAGGGAACAATATATGCAAGGGTCAAGAGACATGAGAATGGGGAAAGGAGTGTTGCTTTTCAAGGTACACGGCCTTGAAGGCGGGCCAGATAATAAAGGGCTTTTATGACAGCAAGTTAAGGCGTTTGGATTTTATTCTGCAGGCATTTGAAGAACTTTAGTTAGGAAAATTCATGTGCAAATTAGCATTTGGAAGGCTAGCTCTTGACTCTTAGTGAAGGCTGGTTGCAGAAGGAGCAAAGATTAAAGACAGGGAAACCATACAGAGGCTTCTTCCATAGCGTGGATGAAATATGATAACTGATTGGACTGGGATATGGGAAAGAATGGGACTGACGTGAAAAATAGGGAAGTACAGTGATGGGTTATGCTTACTGTTCAGAAAAAGCAGAAAAGAGAGAGAAGTCTAGGGTGAGGCTGTCAGACTCTCCTGAGCCACAGAACTACCTGAAAAGACCCCTAGTAGTTTGGGCTGGGGCTTAATTTGCATTTCTAACACATTTCCAGGTGATGCTGCTGCTGCTGTTGCTGCTCTAGGTACCACACTTTGAGAAAGCCTGGTCGAGGTAACTTGTAGGACCCTGCCTTGGGTGAGTGATGGCTTAAATCTACTCTACCATGAACGTTAGAAGTTGAGACAAGTACCGAATCAGCAGCATATCTTATTAATGAGTTATAAATAAGTTGTACCAAAATAAGTGGTTAGATAGGAAGCTTATGATTTGTCAAGTCTCTGGTTCTAATATGGACTAATATCATATTATCATGGTTCTAATATCAAAAGGTCTTAAACATCACACAGTTTTATTTTCCATGAATGATTTGGTCATTGAGGCAGAGAGAGGTGGAGGGAACCTCATAATTAGGCTTCTATAATTAGGAATGTAGAACAGTTTGGGGAGATGATTGAATGACATTTCTTTGTAGTTTTGATCATAAGAAGAACTGTAAACAAGCAAATGGTAAAAATATTGAAATAATAATTCATACTCTGTCGAAAATACTTTTTATAAGAAAATATAGGAAATGTTATTTTCTCACAAGAGCATCTTAGAAGTAAAGCTTGGCTGGGAGATAATAAATGATCCTATTATTTCCAGCCATTGAAAGTATATTTGGGTGTTTGATGTTGCAGCTGTGGTGGCGGCCTTCCACCAAAGACTGACTGAAATCAGAATCCTAGGGGATGGAATTTCTGAATCTATATTAACAAATTTCCCAGGTGATTCACACTCACATGAAGTTTGAGAACCAATAGCGTAAATATTCAGCTCACAGGGAAAGAGGTTTTCTTCTCTCAAGAGATATCCTTACACTAATGTTGTTGATCTTGCTTGTGTGCCTCCACCATTGTCTCTTTTCTCCCCTCCAGTTTTACTGAGATTTAATTGACATATAACGTGTAAATTTAAGGTGTACAATATACATATGCCACACATATATATTGTAAAATTATTACAGTATGGATTACAGCTCCATCACCTCATGTAATTACCTTTGTGTGTGTGGTGAAAATATTTAAGATCTACTCTTTTGGCAACTTTCAAGTATATGATACAGTATTGTTAACATTGTCTCTAAACAAGCAATTGTGGTAGGTATTCATCTCAGTCTACAGACTCTGGAGCTTAAGAAAGTAACTCTTTTTTTCTCTCTCCATCCCTCCTCCCTCCCTCCCCTCCTTCCTTCCTTCCTTTCCACATCTTTGCTTCATTTTCCCTTGGTTGAAGCTTGGTTACTCTCAGTGTGGGGGGAGGGGGAGGGAAGTATAGATTGCATTTTAAGCAAATGGCACAAGTGTTACCCACCTCACTTTCACTCATGTCCAGTTGGCGAGAACTCAGCCATGTGGTGCTTCCTGGATGCAAGGGAGCTTGGGTAATTTTGTCCTGGCTGGGCAAACGCAAGCCCTACTAAGCTCTCGTAATTTGGAAGAAGGGCAGAATGGATTTTGGACGAATAACTAGCAAGATGCCACACTTCCTTTACGTTTTTCTTTCCTCTTAAGTTTGTCCAGCTGCCTCTCTAGAGGTTTACCTGAAGATTTGACTTATATCAAGTATTCCTCTCAAAGCTTGAGCAATATCATTTCAAGGCTATTTCCTGAGGATTGAGGAGATGCTTGGTAAAGGACTTAACCTGTGTTCACTGCCAAGTTTAAGAAACATCTAGGCGTGTGGGGGAACTGGTGAATGTCCTGACAGAGGCCTGTGTGCAGAGGGAAGGGCCTTCCCAGGGAGATCTCATCCTAAAGCGAGAAGCCTGTCAAGGCCAGCTGGGCCTGCTGGCGAGGGCTTTCCCGTTGGAAGGGTACCCCCAGCTAGTGCAGGGTGCTGATTATCCCCGAATCACTGACAGCATGTTTGGGTCCTTGAGGGGAAGAGCAAGGTGTAACTAACACCCAAAAGAACTCTGTAACTATTTTGGACCCAAGACACATTCCTTTTGGGGACCATTCTAATAGTTTTTCACATGAGTGAGAGCGCCGATTTCCTCCCATTGTGCTATGATGAACACAAACTTTGATACCTGGCAGACCAGGAGCACACCTGTGTGGGACTGTGGCGTCTGAGGGACCTCCAGGGAGGGGTCCTCCAGGTGGAGGCAACACAAGGCAGCCTGGGTGTTTGGTGAAACTGTTATTAGCATCGCAGTGAACATTATGCCTTGAAGATGCTGGTCCCAGCTGAGTACGGGGAGACGGCTATATCCCGATAAGCACAGCAGATAGTCTAAGGAGCAAAGCTGAGCAGATTAACAGCAGTGTCTGCGGGAGCAGCCTGGACAGTGGTGGGTAGGCTGGAGGTTGAGCACCTGTGAGACCCTGCCTGAGGATGCCCCAGACAGGGAGTTTACCGTGGGCCAGAGCTCTTGCATAAGTTGGCGAGAGCCAGAGTCAGAGCAATGTAGACTCCCTAAGGTAGAGACCTGTATGGCTTAGGCCAGGTGCAAAACGTTCCCTGTCACTGTTAAGAAAAGAACTTCTGCTCCATAAACTCTATAACTGAAAGCTCTGGAATTAAAAATTGAAAATACCTCATGATTTAAATTGTACTGGTTTGTACTAAAGAATACTTCCCAGGCCTAATCACCATGCCTTAAACAATTTGAATTAGTACAGAAGGACCAACAATTTAAGGTGAGACAGTCTGTGTAATATGATAACTAAACCTGGAGAAACATTAACAAATAATCTTCCGTCCTGTGGGCCCTCATAATACTTTGTATTTCTCCTGTAGTTTATTGCTTTCAGCCTTTTAAGTTATTTGGTTTATAAATTGTTAAAGCTGGAAGATACCTCTGAGAGGAATTATAGACAGGGACATGCATAACCAAGCTCAGAGAGAGAGGTTAAGTGACTTGATTAAGATCATATCATTTCTTATTCCTCCTAGTAGGTTATAATGTCCTTGAGGGCGGGCATCGTGGCTCACCTGCCATGCCACACTCTGCAAAGCCCAGTGCCTTGTTCATTGATGGTACTGTAGAAATCAGCTGAAATGAGCTACACTAGCTCTTATTTATGTGAGATGCATTTTATATTGGGAATTCAAAACAGGACTGAAATCTTATGAGAAGCCATACAAGAATTTAAAGGCCCATTTCTATGTAAGAAACTAGGACTCAGATGCATCTTCTAATGGGTGAAACAAACAAAAATGTATTTATTTATAAGTTATTTATTTAAATTGGAGTATAGTTGATTTACAATGTTGTGTTAGTTTCAGGTGTATAGCAAAGTGATTCAGTTATACACACACACACACACACACACACACACACACACACATATATATTCTTTTTCAGATTCTTCTCCCTTATAAGTTATTACAAAATATTGAGTATAGTTTCCTGTGCTATACAGTAGGTCCTTGTTGGTTATCTATTTTATATATAGTAGTGTGTATATGTTAGTCCCACACATTTATGTAATTCTTACCATGTGCTAGGCATTGTTCCAGCTGCTTTACAAATTTTCACTCCTTTGGTCTTCATAATAGACCTAAGAGTTAGGTCCTATGATCCTCACTTTACAGATCAGGAAAGGAAGGCATGGAGAGGCAAGTAACTTAAGTAACTTATTTAGGATCACACAGGGAATAATGACAGAGCTGGGATTCAAACCCAGTCAGCCCGGCTCCACGCTGCTTCTCCAAGGGTGTGGCCTGCTTAAGCAGTTCTGTGCAATTTTCTCTCCCTCTCTTTAAAATTATAACTGATGTGCAAGGCTTTCTTTGGCAATTTTTGCAGCCTGGTCACAAGCACCATGTGAGACTCCAAGAAGCCAACATTGCCACGGCTGACACATCTTCAAGTCTGTGTCAGCACAGGATGAACCGCAGCCAAACATGACACAACTGACGAGGCTCTGGGATGGCTGCCCTGTTAGAATCCTCAGGCAGAGTCAGCACAGGCAGAAACTTGTGAGACTTTGCTGACACAGCCTGCCAGCCTCAAGAGGCTTTTGTGGTGACCAGGGTGGCATGGAAGGAAGTTAAGACATTAGGGGTTGTAACTTTCTTTCTGCATCTTGCAGAGGTTGTAATTCATTCTGGGGAAAGTGCTGGAACTTCAAGCATTAGATCTATGTCCTTGAATAACTTTTCTTATCCAAGATTTGAACAAAGTACAAAAGCGGTTAAGCTGTCGTTTAGACTTGCCAGAGAACAGAGAAGTGACTGGAACAATTTGCCATAAAAGGAAAAGTACTCATTTCCAAAGCCTTTACTGAAATGATTGCTTTACTTAAATTTCAGATTTTCCCCATAAGATATAAAACTAGCCAGAGACTCTTGGTTCAAACTGAGCTTGTTTTATCTTAATGGCATATGTGGATTCAACAGTAGAAAACTGGGGAGATTTTTAGCCTCATATGTAACCTGGAGTTGATATTCAGTGGGATAGTGGGAAATAGATTGAGAATAAGATGTGGGTGAATACCAAAACTTGAAACTTTCAAATGTTCTTTGTTGTGATTATTATGAGATATCAACTTTCAATATTCTTGTTTAAGCTCTTTTGAATTCCTAGGCTATTGTGATTTGGCCAGTGTAGAGAAAAGGGTCACTCATTAATGTGTGGTAGTTTCCCAGCCAAAGCCCTACCTTGGAACAGACTGCTTGTCATCTGCTCAGTTGTTGTACAGAGATGCAATAAAGGGAACATCTTTTCCATTATAAAAAGGAAATTCCATTTTAAAAAGCTGGATAATTGTATACAGTTTAAATCAACCCTGAAATAATATTGGAACCAGACCAGATTCTGAGGTTAAAATAGATATCTTGGGACATATTCAACAGTTTGATGACAAAAGCCTGCATCCTGGGATTTATAGCCTGAGAGACTTTCATTCAATTTGGAAACAGATTAAATGGAAAAATTTGGGCCAAAGCGTGCAGCTCCCAACAATACATGGGGCTCAGATATTTACCATATGTTTTTCAAGATCAAAATACACACTGAATTTCAACGAGGTGCCAGGTATAGTGTTGTACAGTATAGTACAACAAGAGATAGTTCTGACCTCAAGAAATTACACCTCTATGTTAGCACTGAAATTCATGGAGATCTTTCCCATTCTTTGATCTTG